AAGTAGAAATTATTATTTTACAGTATAGCATTTGACTTATTTCATACTTGGAATTAGAGTTGTCAATATGTGCTAGCTCACACCATCTGGGCTAATCCATATAGGCTTTGACATTTTACGGGTCAGGCCGGGCTAGCCCATTTTTGGCGTGGGGAAAAAATGGTCGACCCAACCCACAAGTATGTGGCTTGACGGGCCAGACCACTTTTTTTAAAAAAAATATTTTTTTTATAGTTGTTAAATTAAATTTCAAATTATAATTTAAAATATTATCATAAATTTCGACCAAACAATATTACCTAATGTTAATGTTTGTACTTGTTAATGCTCACACAAGTGTAAAGATGTGTAATTTGTTTTAGGTTTTTGAATTAAACACGAAATTAGCCTAAGGGGGTCTCTTTATTTAATTTCAAAATTTTTAGCACAAATAACGTTGGGTTTCTGTTTGCTTTCAATGTTTTGAACACAAATGATGTGTCTTTTTACATGCTTTTGGAGTTTTAATACATATACCATATATTTTCTTTGTGTGCTTCAAGAGTTTTGAACACTAATTATTTAGGGCCTCTTTCTCTGCTATCAAATTTTTTAATACAAAAAATGTGAGGTTTTTGTTTGCTTTTGAAGTTTTAACACAAAAGATGTTGCTCTTTGCTTTCTTTCGGAGTTCTTAACACAAATAATGTGAATTCTCTTTATCTGCTTCTAGAGTATAACATTGATAATGTGGGGTCTCTTTTTCTGCTTTAGGTATTATTAACTCAATAAAAGCGGAGTCTATCTAGTTTGGTAAAAAAATTGATCTTCATTAGCTTATGGTTTAACATTTCAGATTTCAATGGTTTAGTTTTCGTAAAATGGAAAAATTAAATTTGCAAGTTTTTAAAAAATAAAATTTGTAGAATAAATTGTATTGAGTATAATGACATTTTAGAATTTGATATAATACTAGTTTTCTACACGTGCGTTTAACATGAATGCCTAATAATATAATAAAAAATATTATAAAACAAATTAATGTTTGGGTAAATAATTTTACATATATGAAGAAATAAAGTACAAGTTTTAATGAAAGATCATGGTGGATTGTCGTATTGTTACTCATTTGTTGAGGTCAAAACTTTTGAATTTTTTCCGAACCTACAAGGATGAATTTTACACTTACACCCATTGTAAAATAAAATTCTTTTTCATTTTATAGAAAATATACAAAAATCGTTGAACTGTCAAAGGTGGATAGTTTAAAATTTTGAAAGTGGGAGTAGGGATTCTAGTGTGTCCCAAAATTTTTTTTTACTTTTTTATTAAAAACTACTCCAATTTATTTATTCATATAATATAATGTATCAGTTAAAAATTAAAGTGGCCACATAAGTATTAGCATTTTTCTAGTCTACGTAAGCTTCCATAGTTTCTAAAATAAATCATGTGACTCTTTGCTTACTATTGAAGTTCTTACCACAAATAGCATGTGTGTTTCTTAGTTTGATTCTACAGTTTCTGATACTGACAATATGACTTATCTTTATCTGCTTTTGATTTCTTAGTACAAATAAAAATGTCGGGCTCTTCATTCTGCTCGTAAACTTTTTAACACAAATGATGTGTCTCTGTACTTGCTTTTTATTAATACAAATAATACGGGTTCTCTTTGTCTACTTTTGAAGCTTCTAACAGTGATAACGCGAGGTTTCTTTCTTCACAGTTTTTAATATGAAAAACGAAGGGTGCATCTGATTCTCAAAAAAGATGTCATTCATTAATCTTTAGGCTCGGAGCTTGTATTATCTCTTGTTTAGTTGGTGCAAAAAAAAGGGAAACTGCACAAGTACCCTCTGAAGCTATGCCGAAATTTCAAAGACACACTTTTACTATACTAAGAACCTATTATCCCCTGAACTTATGTTGTAAATATTTTTCCATCCCTTTTCAGCCTACTTGACACTATCTTGTGGGCCCAACGCATGTTGACATTTTTTTCAAACTAGTGCCAGGTAGGCCGAAAGAGGGTAGAAAATTAGTTATAAAATCAGTTCTGGGGGGATCTTAGTATAAATGTGACTCTAAGATATCATGCATAGGTTGTGGGTGGGTGGGTGGGGGGAGGTACTAATGCATTTTAGGTTGTGGGTGGGTGGGTGGGGGGAGGTACTTATGCATTTTATAAGATTTGCAAGTTTTTTTTTACAAAATAAATCTCGTAAAATTAATTATATAGAATATTTTTATATTTATGCATTTAATATATTACTAGTTCTGAGCAACCGGACTCCTCCACCAGAGACTTTCGGTCTGGAGCTCATTCTCGGTGCATGAATCGAAGGTGCATTGCACATGTATGCATAATAATGTAATGCACATTTTTATAAATAATATCAATATTATTACATAAAGTACTTTTGAGTAAATTCTTTTACATATATGAAGAAATAATATATAAATTATAAATAATGGCCAATGTGGATTATTGTATGGTTACTTGTTTGTTGAGATGAAAGTCGCTGAATTCATCTAAACCTCATGGATTAATAAAGTTCTCATTCCGATTTGATTCAATTTATAGATAGTAAAATAAAATTCATAAATGTCAAAATTTGATAGTTTGTGTTTTTAGGTGTTGTGGTTGTGGTTGTGGTGAAAGTAGGGGTGTAGTGTGGTGGTGGTGGGGTTCTAGTTTTTTTAAAAAATAACTCCAAGTTTTTTTTCCGGCTAAACAACTAATCATATTCCCTATATTTTATAATATTATGCATCATTACAAACATAGGTGGTCGCATTAATACTAGCACGAGACTATTCTGGCTTAAAGAATTAAAATCCCAAATTACATTACAACTTTTAAGACTAGTAAAAGTTTCTTTGTGTGTTTTGAAATTTTTAACACAAATTATGTGGAGTCTCTTTGTCTGGTTTCAGAATTTTAGCTCAAATAATATGGGATTTCTTTGAGCATTCGAAGTGTACAGTACAATTAATGTTTCTCTAACTTACTTTCAGAATTTTTAACAAAAATAATGTGGGTTCTCTTTATCTTCTTTCAAAATTTCTAGCACTAGTAACATGGAATAGGGTGTCTTCGTCTAGTTCTAGAGTTTTTAACACAATTGTTAGGTCTGTCTCTGCTTCTAAAGTTTTTAACACACACAATTTGGTTGTTTGCTTGTTTTTATTATAAAGAAAGCTCAGAATATTATAATAATAAAAATAAGATAAGAAGTATAAGATAGAGGAGAGAAATTTTCTTATTCAAGTGTGTCTTTCACATGGTCAGTGATTCTCTATTTATAGTGTTGAGATATCACCCCAAAAGTCATCTAATTAATCTACACATAATTTTTTTGGATGTTCTTATCACCTTGGAAGCAACCTATACATGAATCTAATTATTAGTGGATAAATATAATAAATAATCCACATGTACTTTACAATGGATTTATAACATTTTTGAATTTTTTAACAGTAATAATGTGTTTTTTTTCATTCAAACTTTTGGACGCTGTGAACATAGGGTCTCTTTATTTGATTTTTAAATCTTTTAACACAAAAATATCTTGGGTCTGTCTAATTCACAAAAATGATGATCTTAATTTAGCTTCTGAAATACTTTTTTGAAAAATAAATTCCAAATCTAAAAATAGCTACTTAAATATTTCATCAAGGTAAAAAAAATAAAAATAATAATCAAGTGTGCACGTTTTTGTGAAGTTTCTTTATTTACTTTTAGAAATAAAATAAGCAATTCACACTTGTTTTTTCCATTTTTTTAGTTTTTTATTTTAAATAAATATTTTTTTTAAAATTGATTGTGGTTGGTTGGTGTGGGAGATATTTTCTATAAAAAAAATTAAAAATGAGATTTTTGAACAAGGACAAATTTTTTATTTAAAAATGATTTGAACTTTTTGAAAAATATTCTTTATAGCAAAGAAGTCTAGAATCATATAATTTGATATTTGCAAACAAATATATTTAGTAAAATAATTGGAGTATTAATTCTTTCATTTACCTAACGTATATTAATTTCTTTCTAGACGAACTCAACATCTATGTCGTATTTTAAAGACTTTCTAGACGAACTCGACACCTCTGTCAAACCCACTAAGGTGAAGGCACATGATATAAATAGAGCATATGTTACTAGGGATCCACATGGGTTGATCAATGGTCTGCACCAATCCAATCTCATACTATTAAATTAAGTTATAACTTATAACTGATGAGATAAATTAATTTAACTGTCAAATATTTTTAAGAATTTGATTTTAAATTTGTTAGGCCGTTGGGACAACACTCAGAAAAGCTCAATCGATCTTATTTTATTTTTCCCCATTATTTTCCTTTTTTTAAAATTTTTAAAACAAACGCTCGCCACATTCTTAATCACCCAATTACATTTTAAAAATATATAAGTAGCTACCCCTTCTTCACTTTTCTCTTAAAATGCTATAAATTGTGAAGTTCACAATTTTTTTTATTAGATTGTATTCTCAATGTTACATGGATAAACTTCCTACCAGTTTAAGACGAGCAAAAACAAGTCTCATGTGACAATATTTAAGAAATTAAATGACGATATGATTCAATGTCTACAATGTGATAAAAACACATAAGCATAAATTTACGTCGGACTATAGTGAGGATGTTATTTTTTATCATGGGCTCTTGCTTAAGCATTATTATTCAGTTTCAGATGCAAATCTTTCTTGAATTTTGAAGTTTGAATTAGTTAATGTAAAATTAAAATTTTAGATTCTCAAGTTTTAAAAAATAGAAATTTCAAAATTAATTGCATTGAATATTATTATTTAATATATTACTATCTCTTCACATGTGTTTTACATGTATGGCGTAAAAATATAATACATATTTTTAATAATAGTATCAACATTATTTAACCACATAACCCAAAAGGCAACATTGATAAAATGAGGCATACACCAAACATGGAACTATTGGAAATGATGAAGTTTTTATTTTTGAAATTGAAACTGCATGAATCATTAAAATTCTTTTTTATTGAAAATTGAAGTTTCTACTTGAAATGATAAAGTTTTTAATCAATTATTATTGGGTTGTCAATGTTTAAACCCTCCACATCTTCAGGAACCAATTCAGCTCGAAAATCTTCTCTTAGAATTTGAATTTTTAATTCGATTTTTTTAGAGTTACACTCTGAGAGTTCCAATACAAGACCATCCCCCTCTTTTTGATTGTTATCATCCGCAAAAAAATAAGCATCCAGTACAAAATTTGTATATAGTTTTGGCTCCACCATAAAACAAGTTCCACTTCTTTCCACCATAAGTAATTAGGGACTGCAGGGGCTCCAGAAAAAGGAAGCTCTTTGTTTATTTTCTTGCGTAAAGACTATCAAACATTAAAAAAAAATTAGCAAAATAAAAGTCCAGAATCAAAAAACCCCAAAGTGTCCAGATCTAACCTTATATATTTATATATATATATATATATATATATATACACACACACACACACAACAA